TTAAATTATAATAAAAGTTTTATAAGACTATAGTATAATATTTTATTATACTAATGTTCTTTCTTTATTAAATAAAATATATTTCTATATAAAGATTTAATTAATCATCATAATTTCTTAAATAATTTTAATATCCTATAAAATATAATTTAATATTATAATTATGATTTAACCAATTTATATATAATAATTTAAATATTATATTTTATAATTTATATATATTTAATAATATTAAAAAAATTTATATTTATTATTAATCTGATGATTTAAAACCTATTTGACAAATTTGGATTAAAAAAAAATTGAAAGATTTAATTTTAATAGAAAGCAGTTAAAAGCTTTTAATGCACATCAACTATTCATTATATATATATATTAAAATTTAGAATTTAACTTTTAATGAAAGATTGAAAGCCTAAAAGAGCTTCTAACATTTATAAAGTTGAATTGTATTTATTTTTTAACCTTTTTAACAATCCATTTATAATATTTATAATTTGTGAATTTTTTATATTACAATTAGTATATACCATGCGGAAATTATTTATTTATTATTATTATGGGTTCAATATATTAAAAAATTGAATGAATCTCAACTTTAAAAAATCTACCGAAATTAGAACATGGACGAATTACGATATTGGTTTATAATCATTACTAAAAAAAATTTCCAAGAATCATAGTTACAAATTATTACAAATATGAGTAATTAGTAACTTACTTTTCTCTTAAAAAAAAGATTGATTTAGTCCAATTTAATGAAAATACGATAAAAAAAGTTTTCGCTTATCAATTATAAACGTGTTTAAAGCGGTACATTTCCGAGGAAAGCTTATATTTGTCGAGACTAAATCGAGCCCTACTAATAACTCTTGCCTAAATTGTTAAATTAATGACCTCAACCCGACTTATTAATGATCTAAGATGATCAAACTTGAGATTGATTTTGACCATTATAATCTTCAAACAAGAAGATTATGTATAATTCAACTCGAGATTGCGTTCAATCTAAATCTTATTCATGTTAAATTACAATATGATTCATGCTGGGTAACTTAACATTAAAATTCCATCAAATAGTATATTGCGTTCATATCACATGGTAAGGTCACATGGGCAAGGCACGCATGATCGTAAACACGAGGCTTTGATGACTAATGATACTGCGGCAGATTCCATAAAGAGCATTTCAGGGGGGCACAACCGAAATTTTACGATTACGTAAAAATGAACTTCCTAAATGATACTATGAATGGTATTTATGGGTTCAGACAAAGAACAACTTAAATTAGTATGGTAATAGAACATCGTGTCGATCCAAAAAAAAAATATATTGTGGGAAAAAAAAATTCAGAGGAATTGAAGATTTTTTTTTTTTTAAAAAAAAAAAAAATCGAAAATCGCGGTTAAGCCCGTAAAATAATAGTTTTGTCCGTCTTTTTTTCTTTCAAGGAAAAAAAAAAAAGGTAATCCAAATAAAAAAAAACTTTCATGCACATATGAGCGCAGGTGACCTTCTAAATTTGGAAAGACATGAATCTCATTGGTGGGGATATTCAATTTATTAAAAATCGGAAGAAATTGTGTAAAAACTTTAATAAGGGATGTTTTCTTTTTTTTCATGAACAATTGAAACATTTTGGTCTTTTATGCTGTCCTATCATAATTTTAAATTCAAAGTCAGAATGAACGGGACTATAAGGAAGTTAACCATTATAATCAATTAATTGCTCCATTTAAAAATATAATTAAAAATTATATCCTAAAATGGATAGCATATATTTATCACGAAAAGTTTTTTCCGCGCAATAAAAAAATAAAATATTTTTTTTATTTCACGACCATCACCTCGTATTTATCTTTTGTTTTTCCTTTTATTTATTTTAAATTTATCAAATGCAAACAAATAGTTGCTCACGTTTTTTTTTGTCAAACGTCTGCTTCAATGTATTTTCTTATGATTTTTACTTTTTGTTTTTTTTTTTTTTTTTTTTTTGAAACGGGACTTTTGATACGTGACGTTACTTTGGGCCATATTCTAATCATCACACTGGTATTGAACAAGAAGGGGTAGGTTCATAGATAGTTCGCTCCTTTTACAAAGCGATAATCTCTGGTAAACCCTTTAATTAATGCCTGCACCATGTCATGTAATGTTGTTGGACGTTGACTGAATAGCACTCTTTTTGAATCCGTTTGACAAGTTACGTTGGAATTATTGTTGTCTTGACGTCGCACGACGTCTTGGGGATCCTTCATTACGTCAGGTGTCATCCACCCTGCTTAAACAATTATGGGGTTTTGGGTTTGTCAATGACATGACCGGTTCGGAATTAGAAATTAATAATTCTGAAATTGGTTATTTCACGTAAATGAGGACGGGATTGGTTAGGATTAAAATGGCTTCAATGAATTGTTTGATGATCATACGTACAATATGTATAAACGTTTATGTTTAAATTTACACCATAATCGGTGATAAAATGATTTTTTTGAACGGGTATCACCAATTCGAATGATGATATCATTGGTGGTGACGAACCATTTTTCATAATGAGTGGCTTTTGAGAAAACCTTTTTCCGACATTTTATTAGGGATTCACGATTGTGGTTGTCTTAAATCGAGATTAAATCAATCAATGGTACAAATGCAGGGATCATAAAGTCGATTACTGGTCCCTTACATGAAGTGTAACCTGTCAAATATTATATAACCACATTCTGATTATTTAATCTTTTTTAAGGATTTTTTTTTTTCTTTTTTTTTTTCTTCGTGGTGTTTTGTTAAAATAATCACATTTCGGACGATCACAAAAGAGGGAAAAAAGAAAAAAAATAACAAAAAAAAGCATACCCGTTAGGTAAGCAAACTGCTCCCGATTTTCTAGAAATTGCGCGATATAAACACACCCGTAAAATGACCATTGGTTCATCATTTATTTTGAAAATGGAAACTCAATGATGTAAAAATGACGTCGCTAATTAAGAAATTCGAATGAATGGCTTTACATAATCCAAGATTCAGATTGAAATGATTAGATATTGATTTCTGGTGCCACCATGTCGTGTAATTTGTGATTTAATCGAAATTAACCGAAGATCTCAAAAATCCCACGACTCAATACTTAATTACTTCACACACTGACCATAAAGATCATCCCATCAAAATTTAATATAACCATATTGTAACTGCCTTATAAAGAATTTTTCCTTCAAAGGCAAGTTGGCATTTATTGCAACATACAATTAACAATAAAAAGGTGTTTGACCGAAAATGATTGTGGTACAATGATACATATAATTTAGGTCTGGAAACAATGGTTGGTCTGATGCCGTGTAATGTACGAGCTGTCGTGTCACTCCTTTATCTTTTGGATTCTTCTTGCTGGAAAATTCGAGATGTAACTTTCTTATACAAGCGATCGGACCTTTGGAGGAAATCCACAACGGAGTCCATTACTATAATTAAAAGAGGACCCCAAAATCATTTTTTTTTTGACCGGTAAAGCCAATCAACGTCCGCCAAAATTTTTTTTTTTTTTTTTGGCAAGGGATGTTCAAGATGTTCGGTTATTTCCTTTAAAGAATTCGAGTGGATTGTTCACTATTTTGATGAGCGTGGGTCCACAGCAAACAAAGGGTGATACGAGTTAATAATAAGAAAAACTAAAAAAAAAAACCGTGATTGGCGAGATTCTACTCTTTTTTTGGGAATTTTCAATTATTGTTTTCATAATACCTTAATTCTAAGTTTAGATGAAATCGTTTTTTAAGGGGGCACCAGTCGGGTACGAGTGATGATGGTTCATCATTGTCAAAAACCGTTTAATGCTTTCAAATCATGATTTTTTAAGGAGATAAATGACGTAAACAAGGTTACCAGGGAGAAATCATCTACTATTATTATAAATAAATTATTATTTTTTTTTTTTTTATTATTTTTCGTTATTATTTATTATTTTTATTATTATTATTATTTTAATTACATAATTATTGATTACCAAAACCGGTCGAATTCATAAATGAGCGTTCCATTATAATTTCGTTTTGTTTGCTAATCTGCTATTGAACAAGGAAAATGAGAGAAAAAAAAAAAAAATAAAAAAATTTAAGTAAATAATAATGATGATTGTAATAGTAAATAGTAAATAATAAATAATAAAAATAAAATAAAAAAAAAAAAAAAAAGAGAATGAATGCAAGTTGACAAAAACGTAAATGACATGTTTCAAAAAATTTCTCCGATATTAAATTTTTTTTACCGTTTAAGAAAACAAACATGATTTAAGGAGGTTACGATTGTCCTTGTGTTGTTAAAAAATTCATCCGTTGGAAACTGTTTTGGATTAAAAGACGAAAAAACGTTGTTCCTAAGGGGGGGAGGGGGGGTTTGACATGTTTCACACCCGAAAACCACCTTTCACCATTGTTGGTTATCAAAGTAAATTTCATTATACTTTTCCCAATGAAAAAAAAAAAGAGGGGATCGAAGAAAATTTGGGCAAGAGGGTGGATTAGCCACACCCCAACAAAGCGACTCTATTTTTTTTTTAATTTTAATCGACAACAAACAAACACGGAAATTTTTACCTTACACAAAAGGGAAACGCCACAGATTTTAGAAACTGGATTATCTTTTTTAAAGTTTCCAACTAAACCAAATCCATCGAATTAATTTACCTTTCTTGTTGAATTATAATATCATTATGATATATTACAACTTTTGTTTCTTGTTTCAAAAATGATGTTAAAGTTTCAGGGTGACACCCTAAACACCTTACCTAAAAAACGACCAAACCAAATCAAGTTGAAAGGGATTTCTAGAAGATAAATCCAAAATGAAAGTCCACATTTGACAGGAAAAACGCACAATGGGATTAACAGGTCTTCCCAACCATTTATGAGTTATTATTACGAAATATGACCTAGCATGTGCTTTTTCCCAAAACACGTTTGTTCTCGAAACATGAACCGATATTACGATTTTTAATTTCACAAACATTCCTTTCCGTTTGAGAATCTTCATCTATTATGTATTATTCAACGGAAAACAATCGACAAGAATCATTTACTATTATAACAAAAGATGATTATGATCATTTATCTTTATTATTTATCATTAATTATTATTAAATTACGAAAATTTGCTTAGTGATTTCATCATGAAATCGGTCCATACCGATATTTTTTCACCATAATGGGTATGTAATTTTAATACTCCTTTTGAACATTTAATATATTACACAATGACGAAGTACAAAGGCTCGATTTAGAATTAAATTGTCAATAAGGGTTAATTTCCAATTCTTTTTATTTAATAAACACGAAAAAGGAAATTATTATCAACAAATGCTAATTTAAGGAGGTATTGAATGGGATTGTGACAATGGTAGGAATTCTAAATATTGTTACAGTTTACTGCGGAATCTCATTATGTTGTGCGACGAATCCATTTTCACCTTGAAGCGTTCCGTTATTCTCTCCCCTAATATTGTGTTTTTGTGAGACTCCCACGGTCATTGCACGAATAATCTTGAACCAAACTTTAAAAAATCAGATTCTTTTCGATTTAAAGGCAAGTCGTTTGAGAAAAAAAAAAAATTTAATATTTTTTTCATGCAACTTGTAAAATTTATTTTTTTTTTCTGTTGGATTAGTTTGGTTTCGTGAGTAAAAAAAAAATTTTTTTTTTTTTAAATATCGTGTGATGTTGTTGTTTAATTATGTTTAATAGAAAGAATATGTAAGCAAGATGATGGTGACACGATGGTGGGATGATGTTCTTCAAACCGTTTAGGTTTTAAAAAAGAGATTATAAATGATCACTATAAACAATTTTTTATTTTCGGGTATTCCTGTGACTATCCTTTCTTTGTTCCTCCTTTACTTTTTTTTTTTTTAAAATGATATTAAAAAAAAAAAAAAAAATCTGATAAGTGTTGAGAAATGGATCGGCAGTACATGATAGATACCTTAGCAACCGAATGACATGACATGCATGGTATATCCAAAAAAAACGTAGAAGTTAGGTCAACAACCAGTTACCAATCGCCAAGCGGAATTCCTTATAGCACGATGTATGGTTAATAATCATAATAATGTAAGCAAGCATGATGTCCTAGGATTGTGTTTTTTTTCCCCACAAGTCTATCCCGCCGAATTAAGATAAAGCTCAATTTTGCTGCGCATTCTCGTTTCCCTTCGAAAAAAGTAAACAATACACACACCACATTGTCCATTGGGATTTTTTGAAACCGTGTCAAATCTATTACGTTTTAAAAAAGTTTCTTCCTTCGTCTTTACCGGGAAAAAAAAAGGGGGGTTAATTCTTTTTTTTTTTTTTTTTGCTTTTTGTTATTCCTTTTCCCTACTTTTTTTTTTTTTTCCTTTCTTTTTAATCAAATTCCAAAAATGGTAATCTATTAAACTGCTACTGTTTCTCCAAAAAAAAATATTCTCATGTCAAATCATCTCCCGCCTCACCTTTTTTCTTTTTAGTCAGTCTCATGGTACATAATGGGATCGACATGTTCCACTTGAACAAAAAAAGAATTTTTTTTTTCTCTCTTGCATATAATCATAGTTAAAAAATTGTTTGGAAAAGTGGTAGGATAGTTCTTTTAGATGAAAATTCGTGTCACCCTTGAAGCATACAATACGTTTTGGTTTGCGATTGAGGGGAAATTTCAAAAAAAAAAATATTTTTTTTTCTTTCTTTAAAGATAACGAATTCCCATAATAAATTAATAATAATGTTATTATTAATAATAATAATAGTTCAACAACAAACGTGCCTCTCACTCCCTCATTTGTCAATGATTATTTACCAATTTATATATGCTATACAGAAGATACAGTCGGTCCCCTGACGGTGAATTTTTTTTTTTTTCCTTTGTACCATGACAAAGAGTATTTGTTTGAAGCATGAAATCCCCATTAAAAAATAACACATAATTTATCTTACTTGATAAAGTTTATTAAAACTATTTTGATCAGATAATTTATTTCGCATAAAAGTTTAGCGGGGTGACACAACGCTCACCTTAAATATGTAAAAAGAGGTCATACCTTCCAAAATAGCTCGTGTTATTTTTATTATCAATTACATTGTTATAATTTAAAGTTTGGTAATGATGTCATGTGTTGGATATTACATCAACATTCACTTTGAGGTCGCAGTATCAAGTTATTTATTGTTTCATTCGTGACATAACCCTGACATAACCGTTTCACGAATATTTACCCAAACATCATGCTGTTTAAAGAGAAATGATAATAATCATAACAATAAAGGGTATTATATATATTTATTATATACATAAAAAAAAAAAAGCGGGAAATGGGAAAATATCAAAGATGCAAGATGAAAATATCATAGAGAAATGGAAAAGGGAGGGAAACGGCTAGTGGTGGAATGGATTTAGATTGAAGATTCCGTCGTTACACCCCTTTCTATTTATAAAAAGAGATAAGCTCAAACAAAAAAAAAAAAAAAGATTTAGAGTAGTTCAATTGTTTGATTTTTTATTGTTGAAAGATGTTTTGATTTTTGATATGATAAAGCAAAGCAGATTAAAAGTGAATTGTATGACAGAAAAGGTTTTTGGAAACAAAGAAAAAAGGTGATGAGAAATTGCCCGTGGGTTCTACGTTACACGGAGTGATGCAGATATCACATTTGTTACAATCTTTTTTTCATATTTGTCCCTTTATTATCAATCATTACGATGGTTTTTTTTTTTTTAAAAAAAAAAAAAAAAAAAAATGGCATATCATAAAAGAAGTTGCCGCCAAAAAAAAAAATAAAAATAAAATAAAAATAAAAACAAAACAAACCCACCACTGACCAAACGGGACAAAGATGACGATCCGAAATCGATATACTTCAAAGTGTTACATTCAGACTTCAGAGGAAAGGGAACGTTTAACCAAACAAAAGATTTCACAATATAACGGATAACAATGCAACGAAAAAAAAAAATTTATAAACATCGGTAAAGGAACAAAAAAAGTCGTTCGTATTTCTCTGCTGCGGAAATTTTCCCAGGGTGGCATGATCCTTGACCCGTCTCCCCGAATTCTAAAATCTAACTGGTTTTTACCGGTTTGATGAAAAAAAAAGGCTCCCCCAAAATGAAATTTTTTGATGGGTTCCCCCCCGATAATAAAAAATCCCATCTCAGGTAGTAAAAATGAATTGACGTCCATTGCGTTATAATTAATTCCAAAGAAAACGCAATCGCAAATCGATTTTATTCATGAATGGGAAGTCAATGCACTGATTAGCATTGGATAGTCTTATGTCATTATGTTAGCATGATTTAGGTTTTCTAACACAGCGACCGAAAACGTAAGTAGTTCATCAAAAATGACGTAATACAACCGATCTTCAAAGAGATTCTAATTTTTCTTTTTTTTTGGGAGAGAGGTCTCTAAAAAAAAAAAAAAAAAAAAAAGGGGACCTTTGGTCCTATATTCGAATTAGTCTAGAATGATTGGAAACGAGATATGCGCTTACATATGTCGTCTGTCATTAACCATTTTTTTTTTAAGCGTTTTTTTTCTTTGAAAAAGAAAAAAAGAAAAAAAAAAAAAAAAAAACAATAAACAAAGGAGCAACAATTTGAATGGATGCTAGTTTTAAAAAAGAAAAAAAAAAAATTTTTTTTTATTGTTTATCAATATTTGATATCTTGTTTTTTTTTGTTTTATCGTTTAAATAATAAGCTCATGCAGAATCGCAGGGGCCCTTTTCCCCTTTCGTTGGATTCAGGACTTGAAACCTGTTTTCCTGGATAAAACTAGGGTAATCCCTGATTGTATGCGTTTTATCAAAGTATTTTTTTCGGTTATTAAAGACCGTGCTGCGGGTGTATGTATTTTACCGGAATTTGTTCTTGTATTTAAAAAAATTTTTTTTTTTTCATTCATCCTTTGCGAAAAAGAAAATTTTGGGTCTCTGCTTTGAATGTCATGTTCGGTGCATACCGTGTCTATAAATTTTCGCCTGATGATCACGTTTCGTTACTTGTACGTTTTGTTGGAATATGGAAAGATATGTGACATTCTCTCTTGTTTCCCCAACCTTTTTTTTTTTTCATTCTTAATTTTGATGATTCACCATTCCCCTTTTAAGTTTTGAATGTTGCATACTGCATGGTTTTATTTATTTATTTATTTATTTATTTTTAAAAGAGTAAAATAAATTAGTGTCAACCATAAAGGAAAAGAACGAACTGCATAACTTATAGGACGTTTGGGAAGCGTCCACTCATGAGCTAGATGTCCCGGTAGAGCAAAGAAGTTCGGACGATGTTTTTTTTTTTTCTTGCATGTTAAACTCTTGTGACGGTTGATTCTTTATCCATGCGCTTAATAATAGGAATAGATTTGTTGTTTTTCCCTTTTAATTTGTAAATGGTAAACAACATTTTCGGCCTTGGGAAATTTCCTTATAGTGCTCTCGTTCAGTCTTTATACGTAACAATTTCTATGGAATGACGATAGGCGGGACACAGACTTTCTAAAAATATCTAATTATGTCATTCTTTTGACCTTTTTTTTTTTTGTTCTCGACCGAAATGAAAAGGAAAAAGGTCACCAAAAACCTGTCACTCCTTGGCATGACCCCCCATTTTGAAAAAAAAAAAAAATATGGTCATTCATTTTTTTTTTTCATTCATTTTTTTTTTTTACAATAGGAAATATGTGGATGTTCACAATAGAAGAGCACAATAAATAATAAGATATATTGTATATATATATCGATATATATATATATGTGTATATATTTATAATATACGTATTTTTTATATCACCGATTAAAGTTTTTTTTTTTTTATTATAATAGTGTATAACGATAATGTATGATTAATGATTTTTTAATATATAAATATATATTTGATGTATGTATTTCCATTCTATTATATGATGTTTTAAATCACACATGTACAAAATTATACTAGATCACACATCATTGAGAATTTTTCTAAAGTATATATAATGGCCGAACACACTTTATCTTTTTTTCAAAAAAAAATTTTTTTTTTTTAAAACAAACAACAAATACGAAAGCAATAATTACTTCTTTGCAGCTTATAAAAAAAATCCATCTTATTATTTTTAAAAAAAAAAAAAATTTTCCTTTAAAAAAATAATAATATTTATTACATATATATATACAGACATATATATATATATTTATATCTAAACACACGTACATACATATTGTATAAAAAGGTTATTGTATAAAAAAAAAAAAAAAAAAAAATTTATTTATATACAATCATTTTTTTTACAATAATCAACTCTACATTTATTTGACTCTTTATTGTATAAGATAATCCGTTATTTCACATCTATAAAAACTTGAGAGACTAGTATATAAACGCAGTAAATTTTCCCCCCACTACCTTTTTTTTTTTCCCTCAACAACAAACAGAACCGTTTTTTGTTCTTCATCAAAAACTAATTTTTTAAAAAAAAAAAAAAAAAAAAAAAAATTTCCTTTCAACGAACAAAGGTCCTTTTTTTAATATTCAAAAAAAAAAATATCATCATCATCGTAATTATATATATACTTACTTATATATATATATCACAACAAAAAAGTATATATATATATATTTATTTATTTATCTCTCGTATATAGCCTTTTTGCGTAAGAAATTTCGATATTTCATACAAGTAACAGAAAAAAAAAAAAAAGAGACAAGTGTGCGATTCTTATTATATTCTTCGACGAATTTTTAACGTCTCTTTTACGACTTGCTTTACACTTTTATTTAAAAAAAAAACTTATGACCGCTATCGCTGGTAACAACTATTTACTCACCATGCCTTATATTGAACAACAGCCATACGAAAACATTAATTTGTGTGGAAATAACGGTTACGACCCGATAACCGAATACGCTCAAGCTCAATTTGTCAAGACCGAATTTTATCAAACCCAGAAACAAAACCAATTTCAACCACATCATCTACAGCCTCAGCAGAATCCACAGCAACCACAACCACATCCACATCCACATCATCATCCTCATCATCCTCATCATCCTCCTCCCCATTCTCATCATCCCCAAGAACATTTCACATATTTACCAATGTCTGGGTCGACCTCGCCTCAACAATCTGTTCCAACTTTATTATACTCGCAAAATTCTCAACAACTCGATCATTACGAGAACAACGATGACAACAAGACCGTTCAGATTAAATCCGAGTATGACTACCGATACGACATCGATTCCACCGTTTCAAGTGTAGAATCGTCTCCTCACATCGTTGCCGCAAATGAATTCGAAGCATCATCTCAATTCACCACCTACAATTATCCTCCTCCTCTCTGTGATGATTCTTCCAGTGAACCTTTATCTTCCGCCACTTCTACCACCGTACCCACGGGTGGTGATCTCACCTTTGCCTTGTCTCCAGATTCCCTCTCCCAATATTATAGCATCATTCAAAGTACCCCCCTCGATCAAAATTCCGGGGTTCAACCTTCCTTCACCGATCAAATGAGGTTCATCATTTACGAGCCTCGTCAAAATGATAACGTTTCACTTATGAACGCTCCCAATAATTATCAGATGCCAATGTGGCAGTTGCCTTTATCGACTTCGGGTATCGACAACAGACCAATCACGACGGTTGCTTCCTCTCAGAGTTCTCTAAACTTACCTTTCGATTACTCTCAAAATCAAGTTTTGGTAAATCCCGCACAGATTAATCCTCTTCCTCCGGTATCATCATCTTCATCGCAACAGCAGCAACCCCTTCAACCTCCTCAAACGCAACAACAAGGTCAGCCACAATCGCAGCAGCAGCAACAGCTCATCAAGTGTCCGCATGAGGATTGTCCAAAAACCTTTAGCAGGTTATATAATTTAAAGGCTCACTTAAGATCTCACTCCCCGGCTCGACCATATCAATGCCCAATGTGTCCAAGATCCTTCTCGAGGAAGCATGATTTGCAACGACACATTCGAGTTCACACCGGTGTTAAGCCTTATCAATGCCCATGCTGTCGAAAAGCGTTCGCTCGTACAGATGCACTTCGACGTCATTTTAAGATGGAAGAAACTTGCAGGAATTCACCTGAGGTTCAAAACATGAAGACGAGAAGAAGATACTCTGAGATGCATTAATTAAAAAATCTACTTATATTTCATTCTCTATATTCTCTGAAAATTTTTGGGTTTTGGAAAAGAAAAAAAAGAGCACAATTCTTGAATTATTTCGGTTAATCGGATTATAGTGGTAAAAAAAACGAGTGGTATAATCAAAACAAACTTCATGTGGAATTTTAATTTTTTTTTTCTTTTTCTTTTCCCAATACGATCCCAAGGAAAAGAACAATAATTTTTTTTTTTATCTGATCGCTTGTTAATTTTTTTTTTCGTTTCGATTTTACTTCATTCACTTTTATTTTTATTATAAAAATTTTGTATAAAAATTCCAAAAGAAAAATAATATTTTCAATTGGATAATATTTTTTAAAAAACGAGCGATACAATCATTGGACTTTTGTGCATTAGTATTATTTTTTATATATATATATTTTTTTTCTCGTGCATTTTTTTTTTTTGATAATTTAAAATCAAAAAATCAAAAAAAATCAAAAAAAAAAAAAATCAAAAAAAAAACCATCATCTTTCAATATGGACAATAAGAATTCTTTACGATTTTCAATTTTATTCATTTTTTACAACGCGAAAATTTATTTTATCTTTTTCATTTTTTCTCCATCCTTCACTTTTCTTTGTATATACAATTAGATTTTCTCAAGATTTATATGGCGATAAGAAACTACGATCAAATTTTTTTGCTTTTTTACGAAATCATTTTTAAAATATATCAATATAGTAAAAAAAAAAAAAAAAAAAAAAAAAAAAATAATAATAAAAAATAAAAATAAAAATCCCCCTTCAAAAAAAAAACGAACATTTACTTTTTTTTAAAACTTTGTAAAAAAAAAAGATAATTTTTTTATTTCGATTAATAATATAATTAATAAAAATTGAGGAAAAAGCAAAAAATTTTGCTAGAGTTTGCGGAAAATACATAATCATAAAAAAATTTTTATTTTTTTTTCAAGTGGGTTTTTTTTATCTCGTGATATAAAAATGATTGCGCGACGAGAGCACAAAGAAGTAAATTCAAGTGTTTACGCGTCAATAATATAACACGTACGTTATTACATAATTTGATAAAGTAACTAAATAATCCCTTTTTTGAGATGTTTCGCGTGGATTAATGGAAACTTATTCTCAATTTGGGTTTCAAGATCTCCAAAAGCATGACACAAACGCTCTGAATAAATTGAAAAGAGGATTGATTCATAATCGTAAATCGAATTTATTATATGCAAAACCTCGTGGTTTTTTTTTATCCTCGTCATTCTATTTTTTTTTTTTTTGAATTTTTTTTTCCCACACTTTTATCGGTAATCAACAGTAAAGTATAAACATGTAATATTTGTTTGATTTACTTTTTTCACATTGCGCAGTTTTCCCGCCATTTTATCGCCGGAAAGAAATTGAAAGAAAAAAGATTCCAGAAATTACGTGAAAATTGTTAGATGATGTGTCACATCATTTTTTTTAACAATAGACAATAGTTTGGAATAACGTGTCACGTCAAAAAAAAAAATGCATGGAAAATGGTGAATGGAAAATCATGTGAAACTTTATTAATGAATCGTAGCAAAGAATTCTTTTGAGGTAAACAAGAAAAACTGATTTATATTAATAGGAATGAAGTATCAAAAAGATGTTCCAACAGCACATGTTTCTCAAAAATCCGTCATTAAAAATCAAAAGGTGTCTTTTAATTTACCGAAGATTAAAATTTTATACAAAGTGATTTACTTTACCAACGGACGGACTTTCCCATCATTTAACCGAATCAACAAACAATTGGATCTTTTTTTTATTTATAACAACCAACCATTAGTCTATTTACATTTTGACACATTTCATCTCCTTGTGTCTAAAAAAAAAAGGGCTGTCCGTATTAGTGAATAAAAACTCAAAAAATTCACGCATTTCCCCACAAATTTTTCACCATTGTTATTGGAAAAGGTTTTTTTTTTTTTTTTTTTTTTTTTTTTTTTTAAACGGTTAAAATTGAATTTGTCTGTCATATTATTTGGTTATTTTATTTTGTCATCCAGATTTAGATGTCAAATACAGGAGGGAATGACAACAAAATAATTAAGTTTTGTCCATTGTTTTCAGAAAGAAGAAAAGAAAAAAAAATTCATTATTATGAATTACGTTTAATGGAACAAAGAGAACAAAGAGACCTCTCCCAAGAAATGTCACAGGACAAAACGCAAATAAAAAAAATTTTTTTTTTTTTCTTATGCCAAGTTAAAATGTTTCCCTTTCTCGGAATTTTTTTTCTTTTTGAATGAGACAATATGCATGTGAATTTTCTTAGGTATTTCTTAACATTGTTTTAAAAAATTTTTCATTTACTAAGATAATTTTTATTTTTTTTTTTTTACTCGGAGATATCCTGACTAATTATTGCATCAAATCTCTTTTTTTCAAGGGTGACAATATTAGGTTCTTTTATTTGTTTCGTATAAAATCACCCGATTTATTTATAGATAAGTGTATGAGGTCACAAAAGAATGTCCAGAATTAGAAATTCCAGGGGCTGCCAAGAAAAATGGGGTTGTGCGGTTCCCCACCGGAAAATTTAGTCATTAGTAATCTTTTTTATTTTTTTTTTTCCTTTCCTTTCCTATGATTTATTGAATTAGACTCGGAAATACGTTTAAAAATGCTTTTTACAAATTTTTTTTTAGTATTGTTTTCATACAATCTTGTTTTTTAAGCGATTCGCGTTGACAAAAAACCTCCCAGGAATCGCACAAGGAGCGACACCAAGATCAAAGTAACAATAATGAACGAAACGTGCCTTAAGGATTTAAAGCATTATTATATTATAGAGAATCTTTATAAGAAGTACGCTTAATGAAACATTGGCTAATAAAGCAATTTTTTGTAAGTTTCTACTGGGACAATCGAGACGTGATTCTGGGAACGGGACGAAGAATATGACGGAATTTATTTTTGTTAGGTGAGATTTTCGTTATTTATTTATTTAATTTTTTTAAAATTAAAAAGAAAACCTTACCCAGGCCATCATGTATCACGTTTTTGATTAGAATTACTCTTTGATCAAAAAAACTTTGGTCACTTCTCTCCTATTTAACTTACGTAGACCTTTCTGAAATTCAAGGTATGGTAATTAACAAATATTTGTTAAATATAAGATAACAATACGGATATGAAAACCCGGTTTTTCTTGTACTAATGCTTACCATAAATTATATAGGATATTTGAAGTCCAAGAAATCTATGAAAAATGAATCGTTCAGATAGCAAAGTTGAAGTCACCAAAATATTTCCAAAATATTCATGTAATGGGCGGTATTATTTATGAATGGAATCAAATGAAAATGTTCTTATTTTTAATATCACCAAAGTTGCACTCATTATTTGACGTTTTTTACTTTTTTTGCAACCAATTTAATAGATTCAATTAGCACTGAATTAAAGTTATAGCAGTTTTAAGATAGCAGTATTCAATATACATATTACTTATACTGTTTATATTTTATTACTTTGTTTTCTTAGTTGAATTGAAATTGTACTAGTAATAATGATTGATCTTTATTAATTTATAAAACAATTATATATATTATATATATACATATATAAATATATTAATCAATTCATTTAAGATTTGAAAATTCTTATTAATAACTCAAGGATATATTTACATTGGAAGATATTATTAATATTCTCATAATTTATCGTTATGTAAAAAATTTTAAAAATTAATTTAATATTATTTTGATTTTATTTTAATTCATTTTAATATTTTATTTATTTAATATTTTTTTTTTAATAATTAAAATTTTTTTACCTTAATTTTTTATAGTATTAATTTTATCAATTATAATTAATTTAATTTATAAAAAAAAAAGATTTATTAGATTTTATATAATATTATAATAAATTATTAATCAGAATATTATTTATTAATTTAACTCATTTATGAATTATGTAATTATGTTATTTAATCGTAAATAGATTATTTGAATAGATTACAATATAAAATGAAGAAATCACTATATACTGTTAATAAATAACCTAATTATGATTATTTTTATTATAAGATATATATTTATAATTGCTTTTAGATAAAATTTGTGTTAATAGAATTCTGTAGTTATTAAATTATTAAATAGATATCTACTTGTTAATACTTATCTGCAGCTATTTGATTTTAAATAATTAATTATATATTAAATTCCTTTTGTATCCTTTTTATTGCTAAAAATTGGTTGTGTGTTAATGTATTTTTCATTATAAAAAAATCATATCAAGTAATAAAATAAAGCTAAAGTATATTTTCAGTTAATTTTGATCAATATTATATTATAACTCTGACCAAAATTTACTGCATCTTACTACACTTTGAGCTTTAAATACTTTCTTATTACTTTTATGTAACAGTTTAAGTTTAAAATTAGTAGTTTTATCTAAATATCTATTTATATATAATCAAATAATCTGTAAACTTCATTATAGATATAGATTACTATTTATAAAAATTAAGCAAATCTAAATAAATCTATATTTAGATTATATATAAATCAAAATTTATCTATACAAATAATAATATAATATAATAAATAAAATTAATAAACTTTTCTTTTATTAATATTTATTAAAGTATTAATTACGCGAAAAATATTTGTATTATTAAATTTATTTTAAATTGCTAGTTATATTATTAAATAAAAAAATCTTTTCAACAAAGCATCAATTATTCTTACAAAAACTAAATTCTCTAATAAATTTAATATCAATTATATTCTTTTTATCATTATTATATTACTAGCTTCATTAAAAAGCCTTTCATTTAAAGTTAAAGTAGCAAAAATTGCTAAGTATTTTTTTGATAATTTTGATAATATTAAAAATTTATGTTAAATTATTTTTTTATCATAATAATAAACAATTATCAAGATATATTTTAAGTAAATTAAATAATTAGTTACTTTATCTATACAATTATAATTATCTTAAAACATTTTTACTAATAATGAATTTGATGAAATAGGTCTAAATTCAGCTTCTTAATCTCTTTTAATTAAACTTTTCATACTTTAGTAAGCATCTTTTAATTACTTATGAATTTTAGTATGTAATAATTCAGATATAAATGCTAATTTTTTAAATTATGAATCTGATATTATAGCTAATATTTTTTTCTTTATAAAACTTCCTAATAATGATTAATAGATTAATATAATATTGCTTTAATATAATTTTTAAGATTAGTATAGTGGGAGACATAATAAGGCATCTAATAAAATTTGTTCAGCTTAAAAATTTAATAAAAAAATTTTGACAGTATATATCTAAAATATTTTAACATAGTTTGATAGATATTGATCGATCCTATAATATAATATTAAGATTATTCTGATTAGATATCAAGATAAAAAATTATTAAGCCGCAAAGTTCAAGTATTTTCCTAAATGAAATAAAGATTTAAAACAATAATTTCAGTCTGAATTAAGCTAAATTTCTATAATGTTGATCAAATCAGTTGATATATAAATAATCTATATATAGTTTAATCTATATACATGTAAACATATCAACTGATTAGACTTAAACATGTCATGTTTAAAATGATAAATATAACATTGTAAAGACTTAGCAAAGAAATGAAAACTTGAAATTAAGAAAAGTTATAATATTTCTGATAATATTTTAAGTTCAGATGATGAAAATAACACAGAGAATAAAATTGAATGGATTAATGATCAAATTAAGAATGAAACAGAATACCTTTTTTCAGTTTTAATAGAAAATATGAAGACATTAAACTTATCTAAACATCTATTAACATATTTAAAAAATTCTCGTATAATCAAATATCAAAAAAAATTGAAGTATTAAAGAATAGAAAAAAAATGGATAAATTCTTCATCAACTATTATCAGACTGCAGTAGTAATTCTAGTGATAGTTTTGTTAGTAATTTCAGTAGTGACTTTAACGCTAGTTCTAATAGTAATTCTGTGGTGGCTCTAGTAGTAGTTTAGGTGGTAATTCTAATATCAATTCTATTAAAAATAAACCTATAAAAAATATACAAGCATTTATTGATACAATTGGAAACAAATTAAAATTTGAAAATAAACACTTAACTCTGAGACATCAAATCTGACTCAAAGATATTTAACACTATTTGCAACTTCTTAACAAAGGTTATACAAAATTAAATACAAGCCAAGTTGTTGCAGACCTTTTTATTAGAGAAAAATGGTTTAGTCATTGTGTTAGAAGTTGGATTAAATTATTTATTATTTATGGTGATATTTCTCAAAGTAATTGCAGAAAACATTTTAAAGAAAGTAGTATTCTTAATGATAAAGATATTTAACTAAAAGTGACATCATATTTGTGACAACATAAATTTGATGTGACTGTTAACAATTTTTGTAATTATATCTCCAATAAAATTTTACCTTCTATTAGAATAGAAAAAAAAAATAAAATTAGGTAAATTATATTTACTACATTATATTTTATTAATTATTTAATAAATTATTTTATTAAATTTTTAAATATATTTTTATAGCAAAAAAACAGCAATTCAATAGTTAAAAAAATGGGATTTATATATAACCAGTATACTAAAAGAATGTATATTGATGGTCATGAGAGAGATGATGTTGAATCTTATCAAAAAGAATTTCTTAAAACTATGGTTAGGTAATAAATTTATTTTTAATTTTATGTTTTAATTTATTTATATTATAATTTTATATTTATATTTATACATATAATTTTATAGCTATCGAAATTTAATGCTAAAATTTATTGGTAATGAATTTGAAATTAGAATTGATTCTAATTTAGAAGATAAACAAAAAATACATATTCTTGTTACCTATGATGAAACAACTTTTTAATCAAATGATAGAAGAAAATCAGGTTAGAAACTTAAAAATGAACAACCTTTACGAAAAAAAGGACAAGGAAGAATAATTCATGCTAGTGATTTTTTGACTGATACAATTGGAAGATTAAAAATAAATGAAGAAGAAGTTGATGATACCATTTCAAGTGAAACTTATGTTATAATTAATCCTGAAAAATATTTTGATAGATAATGGAATATTGATCAGGTATTTTATTATAATAATTAATATAAATTCTTTATTAACTGATTATTCTGTTATAAAGGAAATAATCCTCACTTTCTAATGAATTAATACTTGGATTGAGATCGATTACTGCTTCTAACCTTTCATGAAAAGTCCCACTTGCTAATAGAGTTATTAGTGACAATTCAGGCCTAGTTCAGAACCTTTCATAGAAAAGACAAAATACTTTCTTAGTAAGTACTTTATAATTTTTGAGAATTATAGCAATCAAGTTTCTAATTTAACTTTCTTTATTAGAAACCGTCGTGTCAAATGATACTTTTAAATTTAGCAATAATTTGAGAAACATATAGAAGATTTATAGCAAACTTCAATGAATATCGAACGGAAAGTTTATCTGATAAACTAAAACATGATAGTTCTTGAAAAGAGTTAGTAAAAATACTCGCTAGAATTGCAACTAATATTTTTGATACATTGTAAGTAATAACAAGAAAAAATATTACTATGTGTATATCACTGATTCATTATTAATAGGAGCGATATCTGGAATAATCTGGCGTTTAGATCAGATTTTGAAGATTCACTTAATGAAGGAACTTATGTAACAAATGTGATAATATTAGCAATCTGATCCGCTTTGAAAAATCTTCCTTTTGGAAAGACTGCATTCATTAATACATCAGAACAGCAAAGTCTCGCCAGTGTTGATAGAAAGGGCAATGGTCAAATGGGAAGACGACCAGATATGATGTTCAAGTTTAAATACAATGGGAAAGTTTATGAACTTATGTTTGTCAAATGCTCGCGATTATCTTGCACTAAACAAAAAGAATTAGATGATATGGTAAAATTATGGTGAGAGACTAATGATGGATTATATTGGGCTTGAAAAGGATGTAAACCAAAAAAGAAGCAATTTGAGATCGTTGGAATCCAGGCTGCCAGTAAAATAATTTTCTTATATTTTTCACGATTCATATTTTATGAGATTTTTCAATAATACAGAACTTTGTAGAGCGAAAAATACATTTAAATGTTATCACAAGAGGTGAGGATGAGATATATCGTTATTATCATTTACACTTGACTGAGATACTTGTACGCCCTATGGAAGAATATGACTTGGCAAATTTCATAAAGACTTTGCTTATTTTACGGGTTTGTTATTTACACTGGCTATAAATATTCTTTTGGTTAGAGAAATATTATTTAATGTGATTCTGATTTTTAGAATATTATCATCGTTAATATGTCTTTACTACACGCAGACAAATGGAAGATAGCTCAATGATTTCATCCCCATAAAAAAAATCATGTGTATTTTTTAACTATTTTCGGGCTAAGATACGATTTTATTTATTATATATTTTAGCAATTTAGTATAGAAATTTTATGTATTTGGATTATGTCCAATATATATTTATTTTTTATCTCTGTATCAATAAAGTTTTTTCAGAATTGCGCAGTCTCAGAAATTGTAAACACATAATTTTTTGCGAAGCGCCTTAACGGCTATTTTTGAATATTAACATAAATACTACATTACGCAAGCATGTAATCTGAAATAGATAGTCCTAGTAAAATTGATTTGTTGAAACAATATATTAATGAGCTTAAGGCCGAGAATAATAAAATTATGGCTGAAAATATTGAGCTTAAGGCTAAAGTTATGAAATTGAAAGACAAGCAATTGCAAAATGAATTAATAAAAAACTTGTTATTTGTATCACGAAAAACATAATCATATATTAATTTGGTGAAATTTCTTCACCTTCTGTCAAATGATTTTTTCTTGTTGACCATTGGTCAGGTGTCATGTGCATTTTTTATCAGAGTTTTCTAGCAGATCTTTCGCGACATTGACACGTAAACTTCTAAAAGCTTTTAACGCTATGATACTGATACAATAAGATGGTCTATCTTTTTAGAATTTCATGGAATTCCATTTTTTGCGTAATGTATAAATATATAATGGTGTCTAACCAGGCATATTCTGACTTGTTAGCGAAATTACCAGCTTCCCTAATAAATGAGGCATAGGTACGTCTCACATCATGGAAACGTAACCCATTATCTGAGAAAAGGGCCAGTGAAATGAATCCAATTGTAGAGTCGTTTTTAAAACATAAAGCTATTAGATACCAAAAGAGATTAATGCGCTAGAGACAAACTCAAAGTTGGCCGGAGTGCCCAACATCATTCAAAAAAATAATATGATTATTTATCCATTATTAGACCTCATGAAACAACACCACAACAATGGGCTGTTCGTATAAGAGTTCCTTTGCAAGAATTACTTTCTAAGCGAGAATATATCATTTTACAAAATAATAAAATTTCATCCTCAATTTGGGCTTGTATTTTTTACCATGTTTATTTTATTACAATGGTCATATGCAATGATAAAATATAAAAATTTATCTTGATGAAACATATAAGCTGATTTTACTACATCTAAGATCATTATTATTTAATGGAATTACTTTTACGAGTTTTTTCTGCTTTTTGAGGACTTGCATCAACAGCAGTCATTGTCCTACGTGAACGACGTCGAGATGTTGCATCTCTTAATAGTTCATTTATTCGTGTATTGAGATATTCTGTACGAGCCTGTTTATGAAAAAGATTATGATTCAGGTGTGTGAAAAAAATTTTACCCTGAAGGCTAATAGATCGCCTATGATATTCTCTAACAGATATAGTTGCGTTTGTGTGTCCGGTATTGTAAATGAAAAAAATCTCGTCAACAAGAAAAGCTCTGTCATAATAATTCATAACATAAAAAGCGAAATCCCTCCCTAAAAAAAAGAAGGTTTGAAAGTATAGTATAGTTTGATGGTCACAACATACCAAGAAACATTACTTACTATCAACTAGGATTCCAAACGTTTCGAGCTTTTGTTTGAGCTTTTTTTCATCATCAACTCCTTTTTCACGCAAAGATTCTTCTAATTGAAAAAATGCCAACCGCATTGCTATTCAAAAAATTATGTATAATGAGTTTCTACATGCATGTAATATAGAAATATTTTGAATCCTTACCCTTCAAGATTTTTTGGAGGTCACCAACCCTTTTTATATGATCTTCGATTATAGCGTTTCCTACTACTTCAAGGAAACCGACTTGTAAATCATTGCCGTTTATATTAATATTTAGTATTCCGTCATGGTACCAGCCTATAGGTCTTCGCTCTTCAGGGAGTTTAGATAAATCTTTTTGATTTTTACGATCAATGTTTTCTACTTCTCCACTATGAAAAATATATCATTTTATCCATTTCATATATAAAGAATAAAATGTGATAAGATACTTACGTCACAAATCGAATAACATTGTTGACGTCAAGGAAAATGTCTTCGCATAATAAATTTACGAACCAACTACGATATTGGTATTCACTGGTCGATTTGTCATTTAAAACATGTTTCGAGAGTTGGAAGCATGTTACACTACAAACATAAAAGATCAACAAAACTATAATAACAAGCAGTAGTAAACAGCAGACAATAAACAATAGGAACTTAGAACTTACAATTTTTGGTATACGTTGTCAACCCATTTTGACAACCAATGTTTCCGGAATTTGTATTCGGTTTTGTAATTAGGGACAAAAAAGATCGCATCAAGATCCACGTAGGCACCTTCTGTGGCTTTTTTTATAGATTCATTATATTCCTTCAAAATGCGTTCAACTTTATCTAGCGGAGGAGAGGTTTGCGCGCTAATTTCTTCATCTTTCTAAAGCCATAATGCAATATCTCATTACAACTGCTATCATATACACAAAAATCAAATGAGATATTCTAACCTTACGAAAGATGTTTTCAAGATTTCTCCATTCATAGTCGCTAAATTCACTCCGCAAAATGTCATTTTTGTGACATTCGGGAAGAAATATAACACCATATCGTGCTATTCCTTTACCAATCTTGGAAAGCTTTTTAGATGTAACACTGCTTGTGATAGGTAGTAGCTTATCATCTGACACACTTCCATCGGTATCGAATTCATAATCGTTCTTGTTTCGCTTTGAGTTCGTGGAAAAGGTTAAAAAACAATTTGACAATGTGAAATCTGAGAGTTTTGTAACCTCACCTTTTTCGGCCTTGAAGAAGTCGCAAATTCAGTGTTTTTGCTTTCCTCTGAAACAGTCCGCTAAAGTTCCGTATGGGTACTCCCATTGTCGATGACCCCAATCGTGTGAGAATCTCCATAAAAATTAACTGAATGTACAGCTTTTTCGCAAGAAGCACGTTCCTTCTCCCACTTCTGGTAACGAACACGATCCGGTTGAGATCCCTGGCAATGTAAATTTTGGTAGTTAATATTTTTAACGTTCACAACTGGCTGTTCCTGACTTGTCTGACTTCTCCCGTCAGGTCGAGTTTAAATCTTGAACGTCAGACAAAGTTGAAATTCATCTGCGCCCTACGGGGTCAGGATCAGGTCGAGTTTAAATCTTGAACGTCAGGTAAAGTTAAAAATTCACCTACGCACCAAACCTAACTTCGTGGCTCGCGTTAAAAGCTTGAATGACAGAAACGTTAAAAGTCCCTGCCACGCCACATATTATTTGTATTTTATATTAAAAAGTTCTTAAAACTTGCCTGTTTATAGTTATTAAGTAGCTGTTGTGCTCGTTCTTTTCTTTGGTTTTCTTCTTCTTCAGACTTAACGATTGTTTCGAGGGACGTAAGATAAAAGCCTACTCTCTGACTTATTCACATTCGTTTAGGAAATCCAAAATATCCCAATTTGAAGGTTTTCTTTCGAAGTACTTGTTTATATAAGGCATGATAAAAAAAGTTAATACGAGAAAATTATCAACGACTACTTCAACGACTTGTTACTTAAATATGTACTAGTACAGTGTCATCATGATGTAATGATCACCTGGACGGAACTTTTAATGGGTAATCTGACTATTTTATTTTTGCGGTCGTGGCTGTGCATTTGCCGTATTACCAGAGAATTTATTAGCATCACATAATTCTCAGCGGAGCCTGGTGTTGTTCACATTGTTTGTCTTTGTATAGCTGACGACCATTTATTCTATCCAGATTATCGATGATGGGGATAAATGAAGCCGGATCATGGAGTGAATCGCAAAAACATTTTAAAGTTTTAGGTTTACTCAATAAGACCTAATTCCCGAAGATGCTCTGGAATAACTACATATGGGTCTTCGTAATACCAAACGTATCTTAGTGCAATCCAGTTCTCTTCGCATAATTCTTTCTTGAGTTGATCTCGTTCCTGCTGTTTGATAAAGTTATTGGGATCGCCTCTATGAAAGAACTTATTAAATTTTTCGTGTTGCTCTCCTTGGACTTCGATGGCAAAACCATAATCATAATATGGAATATCAAGCTCTAATCCTTGATAATATTCATGTGTTTTTAAGAAATCAGGTCGGCGTATCTTAGATGGCGGTCCAAGATATTTTGACACTATTTCTCGACAAAGCTTTTCTCGTGTAAATCTCGAACAAAATGGACACCAAGTTCCTTGTTGAATACTAGCAGGAACAGCCTCCCATATATGATTATTTTTACAAACCCATTTCAACTTTGTAGAATTATTAAAATACTTATCTGAAAGGCAACCACCACCTTTTTTTTGTGCTAAAGTACGTATATCTTCAAGAGTAAGCTGAGCATTGCCTGCACAATATGGACACCAATTACCCAAATTTTTTATACTAAAAAGTGGTGCACTCCATAAGTGACCCTCAATGCATTTCCATAACAATTTAGAACAATTATTGATATATTCTGTTGAAAGACACTCTCCATTTCGGTCAGATGCAATTTGTTTAGCAATTTCAATAGTGTAAGATATATTACCTGCACAAACTGGACACCATGTCCCTCTTAAAACATCTTCAGAACGAGCTTCCCATATATGAGATTTTTCACAAATCCATTTCAACTTTGTATCTCTATTATAATACTTATCTGAAAGGCAATCACCTTTCCGTGTTCTAGCATGTTGGCGCATATCATCAATAGTTTTTCTGGGACTATGACATGTTGGACACCAAGTTTTTTGGTTTTTAATATTGTTAAATGGAATACTCCAAATATGGCCTTGATGACATTTCCATAACATTGGAGTCTTAGAGTTAATATATTCAGTTGAAAGACATTCTCCATCATGTTTTTTAGCAATTTTACGAGCCATATCTAAAGTTAATTTTTTTGGCATTTTTTAATAAAAAACTATATTTTAATTATTGGCGACGGCATCAATTTCGAAATTGGATGGGCATTTTGAGCAAGTGTTTAAGTATGAAGAGCAACTCCAACCCTGAGAAATTTGGATCGTACACTTCTTCCGTGAAGATTTTATCGTAACCAATCCGTATTGGCCATGTGAAAAGCTCCAGGAGAGGGGGTTAAATGTCGTCCATTTCTGGCATGATAGGGAGTTTAAAAATGTGAGGATGAGTGCTAGATTTCACGATGTCACTGGCAAGTTCCGTGAAATTATAGATGAGCCTATTCTTTAGAACTCCTCTGGCTCGGCCATAGATGTACTATTATTATTTGTATTATAATAATAAAACTGACCCTGGTGGTCTATTTCACAAATATATGTTCGTGAATTAATAAAAAATTTTCTTGGTAAACACAACGAATTAATAAAAAATTTGCTATCTACATCATTTGATAAAAACCGTTAAGATCTTCTGATGACCATTGATCACGCGATCAGAGCCTAGCCAACCCCTTAGCAGATGTGACGCAATTCGTGATATTGGCGCGTAAATTTATAGCTATCAGCTATGGGTGAATTTCTTGCGTGCAAACTTTTTTTTTGCGCAAAAGTATATCTAATAAAATGTTCCACTCTGACTATAAACATATTACTGATAGACTTCCAGATAGCCTGGTCAAAAGAGCATATCAAGGTCTTTTAAATCACTCTAAAAACCCTGTTTCATTAGAAATGATTTCTGGGAAGTCTGGTCGAATTGAGTCATATCTAAGGCATAAATTAGAAGTTTATGAGAATTCATTAAATAGGAAACGCAAAAATATGGCTCAGACAAAATTATTGCGTTCTCGAAGCTGGCCAGAATGTAATGTATTCCCAGCATCACCGGCTATATACGTTACAGATAATGGAACCCAAACCATTAATATCACTTGTGATCATGAAGAAGAGAATAATCGCCGGGTTATGAATGAGCTTAAAGTGTTCCGCCAGCACCTCCTTGATTATAATAAAAGAACTTTTGAAAAATTCATGCAAGACATAGAAAGGGAATATAGAGAGCGGGTTAATGCAAATAAGAAAATGCGTTATGAGATTGAGGATCTGAAGATGCAGGTGCAGGATGCGGAAAAAGAGCTGGCATCTATGAAGTTAGATTCTTCTCATTAGTTGGGGTACTTTTTTTTTTCTTGTACTTCTGCAAAGTAAGATCCCGGTCAAGATCACGCACTTTTTAAGGATCTATATAAATCAAAGGTTCTCCCATTCTCTTTTATAATCATGAAAAAAGAATGTCATTTCGCAGGCCTCATCCAAGGCAGAGAAGAACATGTGAAGAATATAAAGCTGAGCTGGAGGAGGAGAACTATCATCTTCATAGTGAATTACAGACAGAAGTTGATACTAATCGTTAGAATGAGAGACGAATTAATCAATTGGAGCGAGATTATTCCTGGTGTGAGCAAGAAATTCAAGATCTCAATAGGGAGATAGAGCGCCTTGAAAATGCTTCAGAAGAGGAGATAGTAGAGTTAAAATCTGAAATCTTTACCTTAAAAAGTCAGCTATATCAAGCTAGGAAAGATGTGCGAAATAAGGAAAAATATATTTCTAATTTAGAAGAGCGGTTAGTAGAATCTGAGGAACAAGTTGAAAAATTGCAATATAGGATTAAGACTATTTCATCATGGAAAAATTCACCTGAACGAGGGAATTTTTCAGACTTATATAATTCTGATGATAATATGACTACAATTACAGAGCTAGCAAACGCTATAGATGGTTATGTGGATAATAGAGCAACAGGTAGGGATATTCTTATAGATCAAATAAAAAAGGTAACAAGGCAAATTCGCTGAAAAGAGAATAATTTGCATCAGGATTTAGCCCATAAGCAACAAAGGCGTTATGACGCAGAAGCTGAACATAATAATGAAACTATACAAAGACAACTTGCTGAAGGAGGGATGGCCATGGTTGTTGGTGATCTTTATCAGTTGTGAACTAATAGCCAAAACCAGGTTGTCATAATATTAGATAAAATAGGAAGAAAGCAAAACCGTATAGGTGAGTTGGTACAAGAAAAATTTGCCTTACAATTATTGTATCAGCGAAATGCTCACCACCTACAGCGAAGTAAAGGGGATATAGGTTTATTAGAATATAATTGCTTTTTGCATATCTTCTAAAGAAATTTCTTGTTGTTACGAGGCTGAAACAGGTGAAGATTCATATATTTGCTGAGATGCTCGATTAAATACTAGCAGATCAGATATTTTATCTCTTTTATATCTAGCTATTCGACGTAATTCTATCTTATAAAGCTTTTTAGCTAATTCAGCCAATGGCAAATGTTCACCAATATCCTTAGCTTTTTCAAGCCATGGAAATGGAAGAGCATCTAAGAACTTTCTATGTAATTCTTCAGGTCTATAGTTAGCTCGTCTACCTATTCGTAATATTTTTCTATATAATTCATCTATAGTCATGTCTTCCTTTGTGATTGTTCCATACATTATATCCCAAAGCTTCTCTTCCACTGTAGGAAAATGAGTTTTAGCCACCATACGGTTTGACCAAAATGAATGCCTGCTACAACTACTGTAGTTCTATTACTAGCATTTGGTGCATTTACTGGAAGGTTGGTAGGACGACCTCCTGCTATGTGCCAGTCCTTATCCCAAGGACCTTCTACAGCTCTTAATTTTACTATTGCATTTCCAGCTTGTCTGAGTGTCTCATTTAATCTATCAGCACCTATCTGTCCAGCATTATGTCCATTTACAGCTACTAAATTAGCTTGACTTGTGCTATTAGTTAAATTTACTAATTCCCAATTTTGCTTTGTAGTAATCTCATCATCAAACCATTCTAAAGTTCTTCCTCTCATACAGCCTTTTAAATATCCTATTGCCTGATCTCTTCCTGTTGGTAGACCTCCTGCATTATCAGCTGGATCTACACCTTGGTTTTGC